GAGAGTGAGAGTGAGAGAGTGAGAGAGTGAGAGAGTGAAAGAGTGAGAGAGTGAGAGAGTGAGAGAGTGAGAGAGTGAGAGAGTGAGAGAGTGAGAGAGTGTGAGAGTGAGAGAGTGAGAGAGTAAGAATGCCAGTCGGCATTGTAGCATTCGATAGTGCATCATGTTCACTCGGGAACATGCAAGGGTAGTGTCATTTAACAGACAGAGTGAGGGAGGACGGGAGGGAGGGAGGGAGGGGAGGGAGGGAGGGAGGGAGAGAGGGAGGGTGGGCATGAGTGTTGGCACGAGTGTGGGCGTGAGTCTGGGCGTGAGCGTTACCGCGCATGTGCGTGCGCAACACATGCGTGTCCACGTGCACGTGGGTGCTCGTGGGTGCAAAAGTATCTGTGAGTGTCTGATAATCTAGCCAATTGAACACCGATTCATCCGTTTACTGATTCGAACCAAGATTTTGGGAGGAAGGCAGTCACAGGCTTAGGTGACTGATAACACAACCTGGTTGGGGCCGGGGCCTTGAGCAGCGTACGGCACACAATGCTGCTGCAACTTTTGAGCCCTAAACTCCTATGGTCTGCCCGTGTGCAAAGCTCATGCGCTGCCACCAAACTCAGGGCACAAGTGCAAAGCTGATCGAACCCGTCGCCTTGTTCTAAGCTTCGATGGATTGTCGCTGCGCCTCGCGGAGATTCAGTAGATCAGTTTGTCATAAACTGAGCAGAACTTAGGCCATGTGTAAATACCACCAGTGCACACTCGGTCTCCAGTGAGGCTTGTTCGTGCTAGCGCATGGATTTCTGTCGTGCGTTTTCCGTGTTTTCAGGGCCTTCGCGTCTCAGGGCGGGTGGTTGGTGCGGGGGGGGGGGGATGAGCGGGTGATAACGTCCACTTCGCCACCGTCAATATCATCCCTGTAATCACAGACTAGCGCATCCGCACACACGGCCATCGTCAACATCATGATTATTATCACCATCACCAGCCTCATCTTCACCACAGACTGGCACTACTAGCTACTGCTGTTGCTGCTGTCGCGATCTACTGCTGTTCTGCGGTCTAAACTATCTACTGCTGTTGCTGCTCGGACACCTTTTGCATGAACCCGTTCTTTGAGGGCCAATTAAGGTCAAGAGCGCTCAATGACGGTGGCTAGTCTCGATGGATGCAACATGAGAAGACCCAACTGAAGGAACATGAAGGAATTGAGTGTGTGGTGACAACATTAAGAACACCAGAGCTCGGGAAAAACTGCTCGACATCATGTACTTCGGCCCCCACCGATAACGATGGCCTTTAAGCCCTGAACTTTAAATTTAGTGTTGCCCGAAATCACTGCTGCCGAAACCCCACGTTCAGCAACATTCCAACAGAACGGTGCACTTTCTAAAGGCCGCAAGTTATCCTGAAACATGTCGAAGACTGTGGTGGGACATCGTCCCACAAGAACATGCACGACAACAAACCATATAGCGGGTTTGCTAGCAAGGTTGTTTGTGGTTCTGTCTCCCGGTAAGGCTCTGCCCCGCCTAAAGTGCTGAAGCAACACCATGCGCGCTCGAAATCTGCTAAATCGATGCCGAAACAGACTGCACAAAGCTGATGTGTCCGTCTTGAGGGTTGGGATCAGACAAAAGCACATTCTTTAACTATTGAAGCTGCTCTTCTGGTTTGTGCGCTACGTAACTGTTGGTCCAGCGCATCGGGGCAGGACAAACGCTGCCTGAATGCGGCTTAAGATCTCGCTTTCAACAAATGCTCCCAGTACTTCCTCACCTCCACGTCACCGTCAGAGGCTGCTCCTGGCCCCGCCCGGGAGGCGGGAGCCATCAAAGCAAGCAACTCAATCCATGCAATGCACCAGTCCACGGTGCTCAGGTGTTGAGGGGCCAGATCTGAGCTTGCATCATAAACTTTCCTAGTTAGATGGCTGCTGTGCTACAGCGCTGGGCTGCTTCCAGGCTTCGTGTCTTTTGCCACATTCTCCTTCAAAGCTCGAAAAATCAGAATCTCAAGGCCAGGCATTCTGGTTGTGGCCTTGTTTGCGGGTTAGGGCGGGGAGTACTGGATTCAGGTCGGGTGACGTTTGAAGGACTGAGTTCGCACGTCATCAGGGACGAGTGGGTCTGGGTTGCTCTCTGGTAATCAAAGCCACATACAGAATTTCTAGGCCTTCTAAGACAACATGGGTACAGAAAGTCCAACTCGTGTGCCCATACCTCCAAGTCTTTAACGGAGACAGCGTCCTCACTGGGCGCGGGCGTGTCAGTCCCGAAGGAGTTGTCCCACAAGGAAAACCGGATCACCTGACGGCAGTGCTTTCCAGAGTTTGTAGAGTGGACTTGTTAAACGGAACTTCCGGCTGTCTGATTCGTCAATTCCTTTCGGGTTTCGGCTTTTCTGCTTCAGATCTTGAGCTAAGCACATGACCCATTCGGTCGCAGGAGCCAGGCTAAAACCGCATTTGGTCTTCCCGGAAGGGCCCAAAACGCCAGTGAACTGCTTGGAATCCTCTATAACCCCGATGGTGGCCTTCAGGTTCGGACAGGTCTCCGCAAGGCACCGAAACCCCAGCGCATGGAGTCGCATGGCGAAGCGGGCCTGGTGTCTAACGCAAGGCCCATGTCAGCAGGCTGAAGGAAACCTTCTTGCATCGACCCCGGCTGGATGTCTCTAGTGCTTCGGTCCCTTGGCGGTGGGTGGCGGGTGCCAAAGTTGGTGCCATAACACTGGAGTCACTGGAGTAAACCGAAAGTGTTTCATTCCTCGGCACGGCCGGGACTACAAAAGTCAAGAAGTGGATGATCTAACATGATCTACTGAACTACCCGTGCTACCGCAACCCAGCCTTCCGAAAACCCTCAAACCTGCTTTCAACAGTCATGGAAACATGCTCCGGCGCGCCGCGTCTTTGTAGACATACGTGGTGTGCTGGCCCTTAGCTGCCACACGATCGACGCAAGAACATGGCAAACACTTGGATCGGGAAGGAGGGGTTAGGGCCGTGACAAATGTGGTATATAATCGCTTGCTCTCGAAGGCCCGCTTCTTGCATGTTGCGTCGGAACCAAAGATGGAGCTTCGAGGCCGAGGACTCGTACAGTTCAGAATCTCAGCTTTGCATGGCGCGACGTGCTCGCATCGGCGGCCGATACCAGTGATGAAATGCTAGGTTACAGTTCATGCCTCAGGATCAAAAAATTTCGGGCTTGGTGCGAGCCTGGACGTCAGACTTCATACTTTGGGAGGATACAACTCCCTCGGTCCCAGGTTCACGGTGCGGCTCATGGACGCCTTCCTAGTACGTATGAGGAGATGCAAGAAAACATAATGGACAGGTCAGAACATGTTCAAGTTTATGATTAGTTTGAAAAGTAATGCTAGGGTCTCGAGACTCAGCCTCCAACCAAAAACTCTTCCTCCTCTTCCAAGGACTCGATGTCCTCCAGCACCTTCACCACACCCCACACTGTGTGGTATGAAGTCCTAAGTTTATGATGGGGTGAAACTGCACCCATACTAGCAAGCATGTTTAAGAAGGGGCAAGGGTTTAGGGTTTAGGGACAGACGTTCTACGCGAGCTTCCCGTGACCGTTTGAACAGCTGAACACGGCCAACCCACGTCAGAATAGTCTTTCAGGTCAGCAGTGTTCACATGATGCACTGCACAACACTCGCGACAGCGAGCGCGACAGGAAGGCACGGCTCCAAGATCATGCGACAAGCAGGCAACCGCGGTAAGAACCAAAAAACCGGGTTGCTGAATGCCTAAACATGCGAGGCAACTGCCCGGGAACCTGTGCCAGATTCAAAGCGAAGTCTTGGTCATAGACAAAGGTCAGCTCCTGCACCGCGATAGAATTGCGACATGGTTTCGGTCAGGCGGACAAAGAGTGTGGGGCTTCCGGCCATGTGGCCGCGGGAAATATGTTGAATCATAGACGAGGGGAACTATGCAGCTGCAAGCCTTCTTGGATTTTCGTTTGGCCATCCAAGCATGTTGGTGTCGGTGTTGCACTTCGGTCTAACCTCATGTGTTGTGGAAGCTCGCTTTGTTAAAAGTGTCTGGGACTACAGCTTACGGTTTGGAAGGAAGGTCAATGCAGTCGATCGGGCGCCTCCTCCCCATTGTCGACTGCAGTCTCCAAGAACCTGAAACAAGACCTGAAACCATCAACCTGACGTCCAGCGAACGTATGCTTTGGGCTCGGATTCTCCGCGCTCGATTTGTGCTTGACAGAAAAACCGCTGAATCGAGATCCTCGAGCGAGGGGCACTTCTCGCCAAAGTGATCCCAGGGAGCCTTGTTGGCAACGTGACAATTCCACAGGAGGCAGGGCTACAATTCTTGCAGACTTCCTGAAAGGTTATTGGGCATGGCGATCTAGTTGCGTGTATCCACTACATGTTTCTCGCACTCAAACACTCAATACTCGAAGCAGAATTAAGACTGCTGCAAATGATGTCTACATGTTCGAGATTAACAACCGGTCGAGTTCGGGTGCCCCCACCCTACAGCCCGGCATGCTCTCCTTCTTTCTAACGAGGCGTCTGGTCCCGGCCTCTGGTGATGATGCAGGCCTCCGGGGAAGGTCTCGCATTTTCCAGCACCCCAACCACATTACGATGTCTTCGCTGCCTGCGTGGTAAACCTAGATGGCGCCGGTCACCGAGTGCGACTCAAAGAAGCTGTTTCCGGAAGCATCCGTCAACCAGTGCCGTTGCATGGCAGCATACTCCTCGACCACACCGCTTGCTGTCGCCGCAAAGGCCAACAGTGCCTCATGCCCAGTTAACTTGAGTCGCGCAATTCGCCAGTGCAGCCCAACTTGCGTCGACTAAACCACCATCCGTACCCGGTCCACCGTGACTCTCGAGCCACAGCTCGGACGGACACTCGATCAGGAGGGAATCCAGCCTCCGACAAACACTCGGTTGTTACTGTCAGCACTTCGCACAATACATGAAAACTTGAAGCGCACCTCACAAATCTTGCCAAAGAGGTAGCTACCTTAACCGAACACATTCCTAGCAACCCTTGGGAAGGAAGATGGGAAAGCCCCATACGCGCCACTCTACTCTGAACCCGAGCCGATCCGCCGAATCTAGGTCCTAGAACACTCCACTTGCAAGGTGTGCTGAAAGTGTCGCGAACTCTCAGCAGGGAGTTACTCCTCACACTTGCCCATTTTGTGCTCGTCGGATGCCTATATTCTCATTCTTCCGAGGATTCCCGGAGCTGCCTTCGACCTCTGACCTATTTAAACCTTACTTACGCGATGTCAGACCCTCTGTCGCCACTGTGTCGTCACCCGCACAGACAAGCAGAACTTGGGGTCGCTGCTATTTGCAACTAAGGGCAGCTTTGACTATGATTGAAAGTCCTGGGGCAGAGGCCAAGGTGGGTGCACGAACCGTCAATCGCTTGACCTGGGGCAAGGCGATTGCCGCTCTCAGCCACGCTGAAGTCTCGTCGGCCTATGTGAGCTGTGATGTGAGCAAACCCTCCCTCTAAGGGCCCCAGGGCGACCCACACGGTGCGCCCTAGCTGCGATGGCTACGATACATCTGCGGGCTAGGCTGCGAAACAAGGCTGTAGCGCTGAATGCCTAGGACGTGGCAGAACACAACAAAAGTGCACACTCAAACAGAAACGTGCTGCAACCTGTTTCCGAGATGTGCTAACGGACTTAGACTTGCTTCAGGATTTGGGGCCTCGGGCGTGCATGTATGGTTGTTGGTCCTGAAGACTTCGCCCTGTAGGTTTCGCGGCGGACAATCCAAAGGCAAACTCTCTTTAATTGTTTTGCCTGAAACCAGCTTTCATCTACAAAATGCCTCGGAGCGGCCAAACCCAAGCCTTCCTGTGCAACTCACACAGCAAACCGCAACAGCACAAACCTGTTCTGAGCCTGAGTGCTCCAACCTTGCCCCGTGCACCAGCACCCACAGTGCACAACGTGCCAAAGCCTTGAATCCCTGTAGCTCTGCAACTTCTTGACTGCGACAGCAACTGGTACTTCTTGATGCGTGGCCCAAGGGGCTTTCGGAAGCGGCTCGATGATGGAAAAAGGATCTGGTGCCTATCTCCGAGTTTTCTGCAGAAGTCTCAAGGTGTCTGCAAAAGTGCTGGCTCAGAATAGCCAAACAATAGGACTCAGCGATCTAGCTTGCAACGTGCGGCTTCCGACTTGAAAGCGCAAAGCCGTTCCGTGTTTCAGAACGAACCCCGGTGGACCGGCGAGTTTGTTGATGGGATCTCTTTCTCTCTCTCACACACACCCTCTCTGACTTACGGTAGGGAGCGTGCATGGGATTGAACTTTAGTTTGGAGGCTCGGGTGGAGGTTTTCTCCGTACCTCTTGCACTAGGGATTTGGAGGAGGACAGGATCTGGCATTTGAGACTTCGGGAATATCCCTCAAAATCCCTCAAACTGACTTCAACCGCAAGTCCTCAAACCTTGTTGACTAATTGGCTTGAAGCTCAGATGCCCAAAACATACCAACCGAACTAGCAACTGCAGAACCATAACAACTGAAAAGCGGCAGCTTAGCCCCTTTCGGCCTCGTGGTTGGTTGGCGGGGTAGAATCAACCATGAAGTTGCTCCAGGAGGGCTTTGAAGCTTTGAATCTACGGCTTCGTTTGGGACCCTTTAGGGTCGTCGACCCTCCACGCCCAGAACCTCTACACACAAGACACATCCAGAGGGCTCCTCGTGCAGGAACTCTGTACACAGGTTCAGCTCTAGCTCCTCCAACTGCTGGCCTGTGATGCATTCTCGATTTCACGGCTTGTGGAGATTCAGACTAATTCAGACTAGGAGCTGGATTGCAGGACCCTGGTCCCACAAAGAATTCTACTGTCAGAACCATTGTTTCATCTTGCTAGCCTTGCCTGGAACAATTTGGGCTGCGAGGTTGGGTGGCGAGGAGTCTGGGGCGAAGTGCGGGGAACTTTCCGCAAAGGTTTCGTTCATGCCGGGTCTGAGATGAGGCCTGTCGCCGCAACTCCAATCTTCTGCTAATGCACGAAATTGCTGGGCCAAGGATTGGGATTGCATCCTATGCGAATGTGGTGTCCAGGTTTGCGGGTTCAAGCCATTGTTGCTTCTGTGAGTGATGACCTCAGGCGACGACCATTCTGCTGGAGCAGTGTCAGAATTGCCTCAGTCAAGCACAATATCCTCAAAGCTTGCAAGCAACACATGCCGAAGGAGTAGCCACAGACCCTAAGTCTGCGAAAATCGCCCCTGCCCTCAAAGTCACCATGACTGTTCTAAGAGTCCATGTCGGGTGCACATGCCTGCAGGACGCACGGGCTCCAGGCTCTCTGCGACTGCTTCTGCTGACAGGAGCCGAGGATGTGAAGATTCCTTTCGCAATGACCGCCAAAGTCCCGTATGAGATGTAGAGCCGTAGAGGTTTGGACTTCAACAGTCTTCGTGGGCTCAGGGGTCAGCGCCCACATTGTGCAACACATCAGTGATTGCATGTGCCCGAAGGCGCTGAAACCACATCATGGGTATGAGTATGATCATGAATCATGAATGATGCCGAAAAGCTGAACATATCGCTGGAAACCATGGCGTCCCCTACATTTCTGGTGGATTTCACTACACTTTCACCCATTCGGCGCTTCTTATACAAATTAATTTGCTTGTTCGTTGGGCGCTACAGTGAACCCTTCCCCGAGTCCGAGGTCAGCCTGCCTTTACAGCAATCTAAACTCAGGCAGGCCAGCCAAGGCAACAAATACCCTGAGGGAGGGAGGTGGGGCCAATCGCACACCGTGTAAAGTGGCTCCTGTGAAAGTTCCGGCTTAACATCCAAGCTCCGCATAGACCAAGAGCCCTAAACCACTCGACTCCGATATAGACTTGAAACCAGAAGGCCAGCACGTACTTCCGCCTGAGTCTTGGCATCCAGAGATGTGGCAAGATAAGTTTCAGAGCGCAGTCCTCCAGGGATGATGACAGGAAGACTCGTGCAAACAGGCTTGTTAATGACTATACAGTAGTCACGGTACTCGGATAATTGCACGCTAGGGTGCGGAGTTTAGTGTGATCCTCAGCGGTTGTTAAGATCTCTGGAGCTTGCGACTGCGCACGCCATGTTCCTGAAGAGAACATATGATGCTCTTTGTGATCTCGCCGATGTTGTTTGTAAGGTAGCTCGAGCGAATTTAGCATTCCGGTCGTTGTTGGAGTCAATCTGCTTCACTACTCAATGTTGGCTTAAGGCTTGTACACGGCTTCAGAGTGTCAGTCGATTTCGAGCTCTAGACATCTTTTCCCGTGGTCTCCACATTAAGGTTCAGGGTTTCGGGATGTAGACTCAGGAGTGCATCTTCAAGGCGCAGGAACGTGTTTAGAGGTCGTGCCAAACAGCTGATTCCAGGGTCCAGGCTGCAAATCTTGTCGCTCAGGGCGCGGCACTAACGACGCCAATTATGTAAAGCTGGAGGCAAGCATGCAAAGCCAACGGTCCAAAACCCCACACTCAATGTCAACATCTGGACAACACAAAGCTCAAGTAGAGCAGCAAAGGGCACAAATCAATTCTCAGAACCGAGGAGCTGCGACCTCCTTTGCACTCGGAGGGCAAAAACCGAATGCTCCAAAGGCAAAAGACAAGATCTTGCACTCCCTGCCATCATCCCAAACCCCGAAGCCTCTAGGCAAAGGGCTCAAAGAAATCTAATCACTGGTCTCCAACCCTGAAGATCGACCCTGAAGCCATGAACTTCATCTGCGACAGGGTCCTCAAACCCTAGCACCTGCAACGGAGGTGGCTTGCAACTGCGGGGTGTGAAGGATCTACATCAAGATCAATTAACATGCTTCCCAGCGTAAGGCAGGGGTTGCAGTCTTCTGGGGCCGAAGACTCAAACGCAGCACATCCCCAAATAGAGAAACGCGAAGCTGAAGCCGCTGAATGCCGCAGCAGCACAGTGCGCAGGTATCCGAAACCAAATGTTCAGGCGGCCTTTGAGCAGAATAGATTGAAAGAATTTACAACTTCACACTGGACTTTATCGGGGTGGATAGAAACACTTGGCAAGCCTGGTTAATCGAACTTCAACAGATCCGAAAGACCACGGATGAACTAGGAAACCAGAGAAGTAGTGGAGAAAAGACATTCTGTTCACTCTGTTCCACCGGAATTTAGTTTCGCTGGTGAAACATTAAAAGAAGCTAGCACGCAACTTTTGTGGTCTTTGACCGGAAATGCAGAACCCCAGAATCCAAGGAATGCGTATGAAAAGTTGATGGCTTGTGCAAACAATTGAAAATCTCGTCATTGTAGTGAGGAATCTTTTGACATCTTGCTTAGTCTGTACTTAGGATTTGCTCTGCGATTCACTTGCAAGATCACCAAATTGAACTGAAGTCTGTATTAGGACATCCTGACTAAATCTCCGTTTCCTGCAACTTATCAGGTGTGCAAAAATCCTTCTGTGTACAAGGCAAACCCTTAAGCCCAAAACATTGCCCAAACCCCAAGTCTGAACACTTCACTCTCCCGCAGCCACCCAACCCTCAAGGCTGCGAGGCTGAAGCCTCCCAACCTGTTCAGGGCCTGGCCTTGAGTCTCTGCAAGCCTGAGGGCCGAGTAAAGGTTGAAAGTCAGGATGGTTTCGGACTATCAAGGTGTAGACCTGAGCCCGGTTTCGCCGTGGCCAGACCCAGTACCATTCAATGCCTGCTTGTTTTTCCTTGCCGCAGTCATTGCTATGCTGTCAGAACCACTCAGGACCAGCCGAACGCAAACAAATACATGTTGCTATGCAACACAAAGGATCCAGCAACCTGAATCCTGCGAAGCTTCGTCGATCTATTTCGACAGGGTTGAAAATAGCCTCTGTAAAACACCTATGGAATACGAGCCCCAGATCAATGCCTCAAATCACCAAACAGAATCTCTCACTGATCAATCCCGAATGCTGCAAGAAGTGAAGCGGGACGCCCATGTCGCGCAACACGAACAGAAAGTCAGTAGCAGGGGTTGGGAGGAACATGGAGCCGAAACCATGTGATCTTCCGATTGCAAACGCAGGACGGTCGAAACACAACAGCATCGAAGCACAGCATCGTGACCGTCTGTTACCTTACCCCGATGCCAGTGAGGAAACAATTGCGCATGGGTCGCCGTGTCGGTGGTTGTTCGCCCCCTGAAATACGAAGCCAGAACCCAAAGAAAATAATGAAAAGCAGCATCCAGAGATCGATCTTCAACCTTGAACCTGAAAACTCAGTGCATTGCTTCAACCGGTTGGGCTCCTTGCTAAGAGGGTCGGGCTTATCGTCCAGCAGCATCCAGAATTCAGACTATAACTTGAAGCCTTGACAACACTTTCACAGGTCTGCTGAAAGACACCAGGACGCGACTAAAATACACGATGACAAATGGTACCTCCGGCATCAATCACGAATTCAGGCAAGAAACACCAGAACATAGTGCTTGGGAGTCTGGGATTCCGGCTATGAAGGCTTCTACCCAATTGCTTCGCAAAGCCACCGAGCCTGGCAGAGGCTTCAGAGCTTACAGGTTCTGAAAACTTCCCGCTTCTTGTTTTGCTCTTTAGCAAGATTGCAGGACCGATCTGGTCCGGTCTCGTCTGGTCGGTGTGTATGCGTGCATGTGTCCATAAAAGCATATGTGTTTGGATTGTATATGTAGAACTTTATGTTTCATTAAGATATACAGTAGGAAACACTGCAAACTCTGGAAGTCCAAAAAAGGCTATTTGTCAAAACAGACCACCCGGCATGGGCAAGGTGGGCAGAGGGGACGGTGTTTGTTTCTTTATGATTTGCTTTCCCCGTGGTTTCCGTTTCTACGTGAAGAAGCTAGAAGCGACAAACCGTGAAGCTTACAACAACCTAGCCTTGCGGGTGGCTCTATTGCGTCTTGTGTTTTCGGTCGCTGCCTGGGTGCCACGTTACTATGCTATGTGTGTTTCTTGTGTCGTTGGACTATCTTTCTCAGATGCAAGCATGTTCTATTTTTTAATGTACACATGCACAAAGATGGACAGATAGGTAGATAGATAGACAGCTAGGTAGGCAGGTAGGCAGGTAGGCAGGAAGGCAGGAAGGCGGGTAGGCAGGTCGGTAGGTAGGCAGGTAGGCAGGTCGGTAGACAGGTAGGCAGGCAAGCAGGTGGGTAGGTAGGTAGGTAGGTAGGTATGTAAGGTCAGGTAAGGTAAGGTAAGGTAAGGTAAGGTAAGGTAAGGTAAGGTAAGGTA